GACTCAAAGGGAGGGGGGGCATGGGCAATATATGTAACCTTAACATTGGTAACCCCATAATATGCTGAAATAAAAAAAATAAAAAGAAATTAATTAGAGCTGTAAGAGTAAGGAAAGATAAAAGAATGAACTCCCTCTAATTGCAGATGATATCACAAAGTACCTGGAAAATTCCAGAGAAATGAATGGTAAAACTGAGTCAAGAAAATAATTTAGTGAAATATTAATAAATGGTATAAGGCAAAGCTCGTAGGGTTTTTTATATGTATGTATGTTCATTTTGATCCAGCAACCTTTAAGACTATCCTGCATTGATCCTTGAAAATCAGTTGACTATGTATGTGAAGATCTAGTTCTGAACTTGATATTCTGTTCAATCATTATTATAAGAATAGTACACCATCTTGATTCCTGTAGTAATACCATAAATCTTAAAATCAGGAAGTATAATTCTTCCAACTTAGACTTTCCTTTTCAAGATGATTTTGGCTATTCTAGGTTCTTTGTGTTTCTATATAAATTTGAGTATCAGCTGGTCATTGTCCACATACAGGCTGCTGGGATTTTGATAAGGATTGCTTTCAATCTATAGATAACTTGAAGTGGGGGAGCATAATTAACATCTTAAGAACACTGAGTCTGTCGGTCTCTGACCATGTATATATATATCCTAAATAGGTTTTTAATTTCACTCAGTGGTGCTTTCTAGTTGTCAGCATATAGGTCTTACACTTATTTCATTAAATTTATCCCTAAAATTTCATGGTTTTTGATGATATTTTAAATCACACTGATTTTTTAACTTACAGTTGTGCTTTGCCATAATATAGAAATAGAAATTTTTTATTATTTCTCTTTTGTCCTGCAACCTTGCTAATTCACTTAGTATTTCTAATAGTTTTTTTCTTTTATTAGATTCCTTAGGAATCTTGTCCTATGCAGACAATCATGTTTGTGACATTTTTACTTCTTCTGTTCAAATCTTTAAAGTTTTTTTCTTCCTTCATTAAACTAGTTAGAACATCCAATGCAATGCCGCATAGAATCACAGGAGTAAAGATGCTTGTCTTATTCACAGTCACAGGAGGAAGCATTCAGTCTTTCCATCATTAAGTATAAAGTCAGCTATAATTTTTTGTAGATTTTCTTTATCAGATTGACAAAATTCTCTTTCTAGTTTGCTGAAGTTTTTCATAAGTGGATATTGAATATTTCGAACTCCTGACCTCGAGCAATCTGCCTGTCTTGGCCTCCCAGAGTTCTAGGATTACATGTGTGAGCCACTGCGCCTGGCCTAGGATATTGAATTTTTTGAAATGCTTTTTCTGTATCTATTGAGATATAACTTTCCCCCTTCATTTTGTTAATATGGTGAATTACATTGATTTTTGAATACTAAACCAATCAACTGGTTTTTTGTTTTGTTTTGTTTTGTTTTTGTTTTTGGGGAGACAGTCCTCAGTCTGTTCCCCAGGCTAGAGGGTAGTAGCGTCATCAGAGCTTACTGCAATGCCAAGCTTCCGGTCTTAAACAATCCCCCTGCCTCAGCTGCCTGAGTAGCAGGGACTACAGGCTCTCGTCACCACACTTGGCTAAGTTTTCTATTTTTTTGTAGAGGTGGGATCTTGCTCTATTGCCCAGGCTGGTATTGAACTCCTGGCCTCAAGTGATTCTTCTACCTCAGCCTCCCAAAGTGCTAGGATTACAGGTGTGAGCCACCACCTGGCCTATTCCTTAGATTTGTGACAGAATTCACAAGTGAAATCACCTGGACCTATGTTTTCTTCTTGAGAGGTTTTTCAAAATTACCAATTCAATTTCATTTCTTTTCTTTCTTTCTTTCTTTCTTTCTTTCTTTCTTTCTTTCTTTCTTTCTTTCTTTCTTTCTTTCTTTCTTTCTGTTTTGTTTTTTATATTTTTTTATATTATTTAAAATTTTCTTCGTTTTTATTTGTTCATGCTCCTATGAGAACCAATTCAATTTCTTTAGCCATTATAGAGCTGTACAGATTTTGTATTTCTCTTTGTATCAGTTTTGGTAAAAGTAGTTTTTTTCAAGAATTTGTACATTTTTCTTAATTTTTCCTATTTATTGGCATAAAGCCTGTTATAATATTTCCTTACTATCCTTTATCCTATAGGATTTGTTGTGATGTCTCCTTTTTTATACCTGATAATTGTAATTTTTCTCTTCTCTATTTTTTCTTTATCAGTGGTTCTTAATTTTATTAATCTTTTCAAAGAATTGACTTTTTGCTTTAATAATTTGTTTTATTGTTTCTATGATTTATCTTTTTTATTGCTACTCTTATTAGTTCTTTTCTTCTACTCACTTTTTAATTTGCTTTTTTCCCCCAACCTCTTAAAGTGTACACTAAGATCATTGATTTTAAACTTTTCTTCCTTTCTAATAATAATCATTTTAGGCTTTAAATTTCTCCCTAGGCATTGTGTTAGCTACATACATCTCAAATATTTTGATATGTTGTGTTTTCATTATCATTCAGTTTGAAACATTTAAAATTTTCTCTTGGGGTTTTTTCTTTGACCCATGCGTTACTTAGAAGTCTATTGTTTAATATTCAAAATATCTGGGCTTTATTTTTTAAAGATATTTCATTGTTAGACTCATTTCCAGTTTTATTCTGCTGTGGTCAGAGAGAACATACTCTATATGATTTCAATCTTTTGAAATTTGAGATACATTTTATGGCCCAGCATGTAGTCTGTCTTGGTGTACTTGAATGTGGACTCTTCAGTTGGGTTCATGTTCTCTAAATGTCAGATAGGTCAAGTTGGCTGATAGTACTGAGCAAACGTTTCATATCCATGATGATTTTATTTTGTCTTTTTGTTCTATCAGTTGGTGAAAGAGTGATTACAATCTCCAGCTATAATTTGGACGTGTCTACTTCTCCTTCCAGTCCTATCACTTTTTGCTTTTGCTGGGTCTTGCAGATCCATGCCCTGTGTACATACCATCCAACCTCAGCCAAGGGGCCAAGAGGAACTACCTTGTAAACATTTCTCTCCTCGTTTCTCTCATGAGTGCAGTGCCTCCTCAGTGGTTCCTTGTCCCACAAATTCCAACCTTCTCATCTGCTTCAGAAGCCTCTTACTCTCAACTTGTGGTCTATCTTCTGCAGTCCAGAAAGCATCCATGGGCAGAAACAGAGGAAAACTTGGAGTTCACTTCACTTCTTCCCCTTCTTTAAAGGATTATAGCCCATGCTTTCTGTCATCCAATGCTTAAAAACATTTGCTTCATATATTTTGTTCAGAATTTAAATTGTTCATGGTTAAAGAGAAAATACAAAACCAGTCACATAGCTAAATGTGGAAGTCCAAAACACTCAGATTTTTTTAAAAGAAAGAGTTATTTTAGTCTTTCTTGCTTAATCCATAAGTATTTAATATAAATCTGGTGTAAAGAACATATAAAAATGTTGAGCTTGGTATAAAAGAAACTCCCTAGATAATTTCATTTTAAACAAGGGAGATCTCCCTCTAAAAGAAATAGTACTCATCTTGGTCCAGAAAATGGGTAAGATTTTGTATTAAGAGAATAAGTAGGGAGTGGTGGTTCAGGCCTGTATTCCTAGCACTTTGGGAGACCAAGGTGGGAGGATCATTTGAGGCCAGGAGTTCAAGACCAGCCTGGGGAACATAGCAAAACCTATCTATATAAGAAAAACAAAATAAAAAATTAGTCAGGGATGGTGGCATGCACCTGTAGTCCTGGCTACTTAGGAGGTTGAGACAGGAGAATTGCTTCAGTCCAGGAGGTTGCTTTTGCAGTGAGCTGTGCTTGTACCATTGCACTCCAGCCTGGATGACAGTGTGAGATCCTGTCTCTAACAAACAAATGAAAAAAGCCTGTCAAAACTTTTCTTGCTCTTGGGGCATTTGATGTTTAAATTAGTATAAGAATTAATGATTATTATTCTAGCACTTCTTGTCTATTATTGATTATTAATGTTACAAAATTAGGAGTTCTAATTTATCTCCCCTTTTTTCCCCTCTAAAAAACAGTTTTCTCATTTCATTAATTAGGAGATACTAATTTTATATCATTACAAAAGCTTTTTTTATGAAATGCCTAATTTCAGTTAAATTTTATTTTTTTGAAAGATCCATGCTTTTAATTATTTTATCATAAAACTTTCAAACATATACAGAAGCAGAGAGAATACTGTACCCATCACCAGCTTTAGTATTTACTCACTCACAGTCAGTGGTATTTAATCTGCACCCTCACCTTTTCCCAGATTATTCTAAAACAATCTCAGACCCACATCATATCTTCTTTAATATTTCAAATATGTATCTCTAAAATATAAGAATTCTGTTTTTAAAAAATAGCTCCAATTCTATTATTGCAGCTAAAATAAAATGAATAGTTATTTCTTTATTTTTTAGAGACAGTGTCTCACTCTGTCATCTGAGCTAGAGTATAGTGGCATCATCACAGCTCACAGCAACCTCAAACTTTGGGCTCAAATGATCCTTCCACTTCAGTCTCCAGGGTAGCTGAGACTACAGGTGTGTACCACCATACCCAGCTAATTTTTCCATTTTTTCTAAAGATGGGGTCTCATCTTGCTCAGACTGGCCTTGAACTCCTGACCTTACGCCATCCTCCCATCTTGGCCTCCCAGAGTGCTAGGATTACAGGTCTGAGCCACCATGCCCACCGCCATTTCTTTATATCATTAATCCCAGATAGAGTAGTTTCTGATTCACAGTGTGCTTTTTGAATGCGGATCCAAATAAGGTCCATCCTTTGACATTGGTTGATGTATTTCATAATTGTCTTGTTTCTCTTATTTTATAGGTTGTCCTTCCATCTCTCTTTTGTCTTTAGTACAATTTGTTTTGTTGTTGACATTGTTGTGGAAGACTCTGTGTCATTCATCTTATAGAGTTTCCTGTAGTCTGAATTTTGCTGATTGTGTCTTCACAGTGTAAATTTTATTTTTGTCTTGATGTTTTCCCTCTAGCCGGAGAATCTGTTATTAGATGATAAGTATAACATCAAAATAACAGATTTCAGCCTCAGCAATGAATTTACTTTGGGCACGCAACTGGAAACCTTTTACGGCACTACTCCATACACAGCCCCCGAGCTCTTCCAGTGCAAGAAATGTAATGGCCCTGAGGTTGATGTCTGGAGCCTCTACCTGCTTGTCATTGACACCCTTCCCTTTGATAAGGAAAACTTTAAGGTATAGGAAGCAGTTGCATCAAAACTAAAAGGAGTTTTACATGGGTCTATATTTTTAATGTTATATCGGTTTAGAGGTTTCAGTGATTTTTTTGTTGTTTTTAACCTAAAAGTTGACTCACTGCTTTTCTTTCCTGTCTCCCTCCCCAAAGGAACTATAAGCAAACATAACAAAAGAGATATATACCATCCCATTCTATATGTCAGCAGAGTGTAAAAAACTTCTGAAACATTTTCTAGTGGTAAATCCACTTAAATGAACTGCTCTTCAGGTAATCCCATTAGTGGAAATAAGTAATAACTTTGGAGAGTTTTTAGAATATTTTTAGAACTTAGCTTGGTTTGTGTGGCCTACTGAACTCTTGCTTGGGACTTTTTTTTACTTTTTTTTTTTTTAGCATATTACAGGGGTACAAATGTTCAGGTTACATACATTGCCCTTGCCTCACCCGAGTCAGAGCTTCAAGCGTGTCTGTCCCCCAGACAGTGCACACTATACCCATTAGGTGTGTATATACCCATCCCCTTCTCCCCTCATCCACCTGACACATGATGAATGTTACAACTATATGTGCACTCAAATGTAGATCAGTCAATACCAGCTTGATGGTGAGTACATGTGGTGCTTGTCCCTCCATTCTTGTGACACTTCATCCAGTAGCATAGGCTCCAGTTCTATCCAGGACAATACAAAAAGTGCTAGATCACCACTGCTCTCTGTGACTGAGCAGAACTCCATGGTATACATACACCACACTTCCCTAATTCACTCATGTATTGATGGTCACTTGGGCCATTTCCATATCCCTGCAATTGTGTCATGCATGGATCAGCACAATAAACACTCACCAATGTAAAATCATCCACAAGCTAAAGGTCAAAGACCAGATACCACAATGGCTCAAGAGCGAAAACAAGGCAACATAGTTCAACTCAACAGGATGAACAGAAATCTGCCCCACTTATCAATTCTCTCAAATGTGAATGGCTTGAACTTCCCACTAAAGAGACATAGGCTGGCAGAATGGATAAATATACACAAGTCAAGTATCTGCTGTCTTTAGGAAACACATTTAACCCACAAGGATGTATTCAGACTCAAGGTGAAGGGGTGGAAAACAATATTTCAAGCAAACGGAAACCAAAAGAAAGCTAGAATGGCAGTTCTGATTTCAGATAACTTAGTCTTCAAATCAACAAAAGTAATGAAAGACAAAGAAGGTCCACTATATAATGGTGAAGGGTACAATTCAACAAGAAGACATAACAATTCTAAATATTTATTTACCTAACTCAGGTGTGCCCAGATTCATAAAACAAATCCTACTTCATCTAAACAAAATAATAAACAGCAACACTGTAATAGCCAGGTATTTCAACATCCCTCTGACAGAACAGGACAGATATTCCAAACAGAAAATAAACAAAGAAACAGTGGACTTAAACAGAACTCAAAACAAATGGGCCCGAGTGATATTTATAGAACATTCTACCCCCAAACCACTGAATATACATTTTTCACATCAGATCATGGGATATTCTCTAAGACTGACCATATCCTAGGCCACAAAATATGTCTCAAATTTTTTTTAAAAAACAGGAATTATATACCATGCATCTTTTCAGACCACAGTGCAATAAAATTAGAAATCAACTCCAACAGAAACTCTCATCTCTACACAAAGTCATGGAGACTAAACAACCTTCTGCTAAATTATTATTGTTTTAAGGAGGAAATCAAGATGGAAATCAAAAGATTCTTTGAACTAAATGGTAAAGGAGATGCAAGTTATCAAAATCAGTGGGACATGGCTAAAGCAGTCCTAAAAGGAAAATTTATAGCCATAAATGCCTACATTTAAAAGACACAAAGAACACAAATCAAGAATCTAATGAATTATCTCAAAGAACTGGAAAAGGATGAGCAAACCAACCCAAACCCAGCAGAAGAAAAGAAATAACAAAGATCAGAGCAGAACCAAATGAAATTGTAACAAAAAAACTATACAGAAGATTAATAAAATAGTAAGTTGCTTCTTTGAAAAAATAAAATTGACGTGTCTCTTGCTAGATTAAGAAGAAAAAAGAACTCTAATAAGCTACATGAGGAATGAAAAAGAATTTGCAACTGATGCCATGGAAACACAAAATATAATCTATGAATACTATAAAAACCTCTATGCACATAAATTTGAAAATGTGGAGGAAATGGACAAATTCTTAGAAACACACAGCCTCCCTAGGCTCAATCAAGAAGAAATAGAATTGCTTGGGACTTTTTAAGCAGGAATTGAGACATTAAAAAAAATTTTAAGTTATACTTTGAAGATAGTCAATGAAATGTTGCAAATAAATTTTCCTAAATATTGTTATTATCAGAATATATTATTTTATACTGCTAGTGAACAGTTCACCTTTTCACAAAATTATAAAAGACCAGTGGCTGAATAAAGGGCATGAAGAGAAACTTAGACCATATGTTGAAGAAGTAGACATCTGTGATCAGAAATGCATTGGCAATTACTCTGTGCCTACATCCTTAAGTGTGCCTGTGTTTGTATAAGTAACATATTTCTGTTTTGATTCATGTATATGCCTAAAATGTGAATAATGGAACGTTAAGCACAAGTTATACAATGAATCAACTTATCTGTTCTGTCATGTTTAGGAACTTAACTAAATGTAGTTTCCTACAATAGCACCCAGTAACTCAGAAACTAGTGCTCATTTGTGTTAGAAAATGTGTGATCTTTTAGGTCAAATAAACAAAATTATTTTATCCTGTAACAGAATGATTTCTTACCCAAACAAAACACATAAACTGTATTTTACCCTTCTTTTTTAGATATTTTGTTGAGAATGGAGTATAAAGAAGAAGAAATGGAACATTCTCCTAGAAAATGGCAACACAATGAAATTACTACAAACTATGTTACTAAAGGGAAAAATCTCTTGACGTAAGAGTAATCAGAGAGGAAGAGCTGAAATACCTTTCATGTAAATTATCAGTTTATGTTAAACTATTTTCTTAGTTTTTACTATTTAGATATATCTAATATATTTAATATATCATTTTTTAAATTTACCTGCAAATACCAAATCTAACTCCCATAATCATTATAAGCTACTATTTTAACTTTGAGATAATAACCCTTAATAAATAAACAGAACATTTAAAGTTATTTGGAAAAGCCTGGAAAGAAGATCATAGATACATCACCTTTTGTGACTTTTTCCAGCAGTGAGAAAAATAATTTTGTCTGAGTTTATGGTTGTCACTTTTAAACACTGTGATTCCACATCTCTCCAAATGAACTGTTTCTGAGAGGTCTGTGTGTTATGAGAAGTTTAGTTTCCTAATAAACTATTTGGGTTTGTGTTGTGATTTGTTGTTTTTCTCATTTTCTCTTAGCTGCACGCTAATGATTGTAGTTCAAGCAGCAGTCTTCCTCTCGCTAAGGTTAGGCCGAGCAGTGATCTCAACAACTTTGATTTCAGTAGTCTGTGAATTGTTACTTTACTGGTTATTATAAACCGCTATGATAGTCACCCTATCTTAGCTGTTTTTCATGTTCTTTTCTACCAGAAGAGAAGGCAGAGGTTGTTGTCCTCGCTCCCTTTTCTGATCTTTTGGCCATTACTATGAATGTTTTAGCACAGTTTAATTTAAAGACTGAGTATTCCTTTTTATGTAGATGACATCTTTTTTTTCTTCATTGTGCTAATACTTACCAAATAGTTTAAGACAAAAATGCCTGTTTTTATAGAAGCACCTGGAGGAATGGCAAGGCGAAATACATATGTCTGCAGTGAGAGAACTGCAGATGATAGATACTCAGTGATTCAGAATGGCAAAAAAAAAAAAAGGTATAAAATTTTACCTGTTTGTAAGACATTTGTTTTTTCACAAGAGAAATGGGAGCATATTATTTATTTCTCACTTTTAAAATCAAAATTTAGGTAATAACAGTAAGTATTCTCTGAAGGTAAGTTAAATTAGAGTGCTAATTTTTAGCAAGATGCTAGAATTCCAAATTCATGTCCTAGGCACTGTTGTCCTGGCTGGCTGGCTGTATATGATGATTAAAAGGATGGAGTTAAACCAGAGAAATTTCTTAGAGGAGGTATGTAGTAAGTAAGCCATGGTTTCATTGTAGAACAGTGAATAGGAAAATAGAGATTATCTTGTGCACATTAATAACTTGAGCAAAGGCTGGGGGGGAGCAGAATGAGGACTTGAGGCAGGAGCCACACCTCTGGGAGACATAGAGAGCAAGGTAGAGAGAGAGAGTGTTCAGTTTGCCAAAGGGTCCAGATGGCCACGTAGTAACACAGTCTCTACCTAAGAAAGAGAGACACTTGAGCATCCAAGAGAAATGGAGAGCCTAATCTTTTCAATGGTTTTAATCTGCGTGAGGGCCAAGCATGCATACATAGAATGAACATGATTTCAAATACTAATAAAGTAATCTGTCAATAAAGACAGCATCATATGCGGATGACTTTCTTGAGGATAGGAAATAGGAAATCAATAGAATTGGTAAAGTAGAATTAGGTAGGTTCGGAGAACATGAGGGTAGGGTTAGTTGTGGGGAGAGGAGAGGAGAAAAAGACAGAAAGTGGATTGGTAGAGAGTAGTTAAATATGTTTTATTCTGTATAAAACCAATTTCCCAGGCTGACATGGATTTTCCTTCTTTGTTTTCAGAAGAGTCTCGTACCAACTAAATTCAAAGATAGAAATAAAGAGATAGAAGTCTAAGTGAGTCCTGGAGTAAAAATCTATAAAAATAAGCTTGCATTGTCCTCCTAATTTGAACATTGTTTGGTCATGTCTAGCACCAAAATTGTTTTTGTATTTTCTTCTGCCATTTACTTGCTGAAATTGCATTGTGAGGTTTCTGTTTCCTTAATCATAGCCTTCTGTTTGTTCTCTTTAGTCAAACGAAATGTTTGATCACTGACTAATATGACAGTCTAAGCACAGATTCTTCTTTCCTCC